GCCTGCGGCTGCCGGTCACTGGGGGTCACAGCAGGGCCTGCAAGTCCAGTGTCCGGCAGGTGGGCGCTGTTTGAACTGCGACTCACACTCGAGGCGGAATAACCTTGGGTGCCGAGAAGGACACGCACGGGCCTCGTGCTCGGACACGCCTGAGACTTGGGGGGGACGTGGCGGGGGGCGCTGGCCGTGCTCTGGTCTCGGTTTTCTGCTCAGGTCCCGTGGGCAGGGGGCCGCCGGGCTGCTGTCCCAGACTGGCCACCCTGGTGGAGCACCCGGTGGGCCGCAGGGCCCGAGGCTGCCCAGCAGGACACTCGTGCTCGCCGTCCCTGGCCCGCCGCGGGCCCCGGAGGGGCGACTCGGGTCCGTCGAAGCCACGGAGTGCATCTGCGCAGGACCCTGTCAGAACTGTGAAAGTCGTGATTCCGTCCAGGTGGGGGCATTTGGGGGCCGCGGGAGGGAAGGGGAAGCATGCCAGAGCCCTGGCGCTGTGATCTGGTCAGCCGGCAATTTCCCGAGCCCTGACCTCGGAGGCGGGCAGAGGCCACGGGGACACAGCCGTCCAGCCCCCGGGGCGGCGAGGAAGCGCGGGGCGTGCAGGTGCCAGCGGCAGCGTGTTATTTTGGGAGAACGTGAACGAACACTCGCAGGAAGTGTCCTAGTCCCTCGCCAGCATCCTGGAGGATTATTTTAGGCAGCAGTACTGAGCCTTGTGAGCAGAAGTCGGCTTTCAACACACCTTTGGGGCGAGGGGGACCTGGCAGACAGCCGTCACTGCGCCGCGGGCGGGCGAGGCCAAGGGGGCGTGGTGCCGTGCGCCCGAGGCCCCAGCTCCCCCGCGCGGAAACCGGCAGCGGATCCCGGCTCTGCGGAAGGTTCCGGCTCCTCCGAGCCACCCCACGCCACACACACAGCCCAACATGGGTGACACGCTCTGCTGGAGACGGGGGTCTCGGGGGCCCGAAGCCCCCGCGGGGTCGCTCGCCTCGGGCTCAGCCTCTCCCTCTGCAGGGCCAGGGGCGTCACTGAGGGACATCTGGGTCAGGGCGCCAGGTCAAGTCCTCACAAGCAAGGGTGGTGGACAGGGCGACGG